ATAGTTAATAGCAGATGTTGTTTTGTGTGAACAAATCTTGCGCTCTTCAGAGTACTAGTGTGGTAATGAACGTACACAAGGCACTGTTGCACAAAAAAAAAAAAAGTACTATATAACAAACACCAACAAATCCATTCACTACCTCTGAGATTTATGTAATCCACATCTGAATTAGTCTTGAGTATCAAAATCTAATCAAGACATTCAATAATGAAATATGTTTTCCACCTTCCATTTGTAGGATTAGAATTCATTGTGCTAATAAAGTCAATAGGAATGCATTAAATGCACCTGAAAAAATGTCAGCTTTCAACTAGTGTGTTCTGAGTATTTATCAGAGACAACTAGATACTCATTTTTTCGTATTTCAGAACTGTATTGAAGGAGGTGATTCTCCCCCCTACTCTGCTCTTGTGAAACCCCATCTGGAGTAGTGTGTACAGTTCTGGAGTCCCCAGCATAAGAATGAAATGGAACTGTCAGAGCAAGTTCAGAGGAGGGCGACAAAGCTGACAGGAGGACTGGAGCACATCCCCTATGAAGACAAGCTGAAAGAGTTGTAGCTGTTCAGTCTGGAGAAGAGAAGGTTGCAAGGAGACCTCAGAGCAACCTTCCAGTATGTAAAGGGACCTATGGGGAAGCCAGAGAGAGACACTTCATCAGGAACTGTAGTGACAGGACAAGGAGTAATGGGTATAAATTGAAAGAGGGGAAATTTAGATATTAAGAAGATATCCTCCACTTTGAAGGAGGTGAGGCATTGGAACAGGTTTTGTGTGGAGGTTGTGGATACCCAACCCTGACAGTGTTCAAAGCCAGGTTCAATGAGGCCTTGAGCAGCCTGATCAAGTGGGAGGTATCCTTGCTGAGAGCAGGGGAGGTCGGGATTAGATGATCTTTAAGGTCCATTCCAAACCATTAACATTTTATGACTCTAGGATTCAATATAGACAATTTTATAGATTGTCTCAGCACAAAAGGATCTTAAAACAACTGCAGTTTGTTTCAGTTTTTTTCTGGATATATGCTGTCCGGGCTAGAAAGAGCACCAAAATATTTTATCCTTTTCAAACTCAATATAGCTTTCAGATTACTTCTTTTTGCACCTGAAGAGGATAAAAGTTCTTTCTTTTCTCTAGACAAAAATACAAGTACCAAAAATATACTGATTATATGTTGTGTGGTACACTAGAACAAAAAGTATCTTTACTCTTCAGACTTCTGAGCAACAAAGGGAAAAAATATCTTTTCAAAAATCAGATTAACTGATAGAAACCTGCAAAAGGAATAGTTTGGTCTGCAATCTATGCTGTTTCTAATTAGAAGGTAGCAAAACATACACTCTCACATTTTATTCACCAAGGGCGTAAAACCCCATACAAATCGTAGTCATACAAAATAAGGCATTGTATATATTTGTTTAATTCAATAATTACATTTAAACCTCTGTCTTGAACAAACCCTTGCTTTGTGACCCTGGAAGACAGCAAAATCTTAGTAAATAAATCAGTAGTTATCCAGTATGAAATATAAAATAGATCTATAAACACTTTTAGCAGGTTGTTTTCAAGTCCAGAGTTCAAATCATAGAACACTTAAGGTTTGAAGGTACCTCTGGAGATTATCCAGTCAGCTTATGCTCAGTTATGTCCATTAGGAATATAGGAATTAGGAATATAGAACTAACCAACATAGGAGAAATTTCCTTCTTCCATCTTATTAAACATGCCTCTACTTTTCTTTTTCCCTATATTAGCAAAATGTGTCTATTTATGCTCCAAAACATTACATTGCTACATGAAAGTCAGAGCAATTGTGCAGTTTGTCCAGAAACAGAATTTCAGTAAACCAGAAAATCTTAATGGGACTTAATGATACCTTCTATAGTGATAATTAGTTCTACTACAGTCAAAATCAGACACTATTTTGCTGCTGAAAATCCACAGTAATTCAAAAAAATGTCAATGGATGTATGACAGTGTGTATTAGTATAGATGAGACATGAGGGTCCATATGGTGAAATCACAAAGTACCTTGGACTTGATTAGCATAAGAGACCTGATAGCCAGGATGCCTTGGCAGGAACAAACAGAGCTTTGAAGATTGCAAGAAGATTGGATCAAGCCTGGGACAGGAAGAAGATTGAATCAATGTTGAAATATGCATGTATGTTTGTATGGTTTGTATGATGTTTAACTCAACCATTGTCACCTTCCTAGAATAGTATATAAGCATATGTAGACCAAAGTAAATTCAGATTCTGATCACCGAGTCAGTTGTCCCTGTCTCTCTTCATTGCCAATACTTCCTCACCATGTGAGGAAAAGGACTGGCCTAGCTGGTACAGTCAGCGCGCCCCCAGAACTGATTGTGATGGTGAGAGAACTGTGTCTGGGTCCACAATCACCTGATCAGCTGTGATGCAAATAGTGAGCTGAGGAACGAAACGATGGGATGGAATGTGTCCAAAGCGAGAGATGTTAATGAAACTATGCTTGATCTTCTGTGCAAACATGGGTCCCCCATCCTAAAGCACAACTAAGTCACTTTTACCATGAGTGTCACGCATGCTTCCTGATGCCACTCCTTCTTCTGCTTTTACCCTCTGCTTCTGGGACAAGGTCAGCATTAAGCTTTACAACCTGGGCACCCTCCCTGGACATGATCCAGAGATGTGAATGCTCCCTGCTTATACGGCAGTCATGGACATGCTTGAAAGGGAGGGGGGCAGTGAGGCTGCTTGCAAGGCTACCTTTGAGATGGTCCTGGCAACCGTGCTGGACCGAAACCTGCCCAGGTCCCACTCCCCATGCCCCATCTGCATGCCCTCCCTGATGGGCACCAGGGATAGAGCCTGGTCACCCCCTCCAGCCTCACTGCTATACCGTCAGCAATCCCAGAACTGCCAGACAGGATGGGACACTTATGCAGTGGACACTGACTCTGATAGTGAAGGGGAAACTGGATCCTTTCAACCCCGGCCCCAAAAAAGATCCAGACTTACTCCCTTTGCATATGCATAATAATTGGTTATGGATGAAAAAGAAAGCCCTTAAGGACAGAGACTTAGATACTGCGGCAGAAATCTTCATGACCCACATGCGACTTGGCCCAAGGAGGGGAAAACCACAATGGGAGCCCTCAGGCCACTCAGAAATTAAGGCTAATCTATGTCGCTCCAAGTTCCACCAGAATGGCCAGCCTTTACAGGGATACTCATCTCAGAATGTGGGACAGCGACGTGCAGACACAAATCACACAGCCAATGCAGCAGAAGATGCAGCAACCAGGAGCAGTGGTCAGCTTCCAGCTGGCCCAGCCCCCTGCCACAGGACCATCTGTGACCTACGTGGAGCTACCCCATTGCCACTGGAGCAGTGCCAGATAGGACACATCAACCAGTAACACAGTAACATTAACTGACTGCTCAGTATTTTGTCTCCATACAGGAATTTCTGGACCCTTGAAACCTGATTACCACCATGCTTTGCTTGTAGGTAGATCTTCCACCTTGGCAACAGGATTATTTGTGTTGCCAGGAGTTATTGACTCTAATTCAGTGGGGGAAATAAAGACCATGGTTCATGGACCGAGGAGGAGGAGGAGCTCATGACTCACATATTTTGTCCCACCTGCAAAGGAAACTGTGAACCTTGGGTTTTATGTCAGTGCAAAAAGTGTGGAAGTCAGTGGTATCGCAGAGCCCTTTTGGCAAAAGCATGGTGTGAATCATGTTATGACGTGGAGTTACAAATAAGGTATAAAGCCATTGAATTTTTAATTGTAGTAGGCCACGAGGAAGAGGATAGCCCTCGCCTCCCTATTCTCAGGAGAGAAGTGTTGAGGGAATCTGAAAATAGCTATATTTGCAAAGTGGAGTGCAAACAAAACAGCTTGTTGCCTTCTATTTGGCCAGTCATTGAACAAGCTTGGGAAAAGACAAAAAGGGAATGTGCTAAAAGATACGCTTAGAAACTAAAATCCAAAAAGTTTTTGCCACAACACAGTTAAGAAAAAAGCATGGAATTAAATCAAATGCTATGCTTATGTTTATTAACGTTGCACAGCTTGGACTGTTGTCCAACCCAAAACGAATGTTTGGATAGCACTGGCTAATGTAACAAAACAAAATATCCTATGCTTAGCTACTGCATCCCCAGAAAATCCATTTCCAACCTGTTCATTAACTCAAAATCTATCCATAAAGGCATATAGCAAATAAAAAATAGTGTGTTTAAAATAAGAATAGAATCTGAATCTTAGCTAGATAACCTGTTTAGTGTCTGAGGTTTAACACCCTGTCTAAAAGATTTCTTTAGAATAGGTATGCATGTGATGATTTTGATAATAATTGTATTAATTCTGATACCTTGTTTACTTCAGTGTATCCATAGATTGATTAATAAAGCCATTAAGGTAATATTTTTGGTAGAAAAAGACAGGGAGACATATGGTGAAATCAAAAAGTACCTTGGACCTGATTAGCATAAGAGATCTGATAGCCAGGATGCCTTGGCAGGAACAGAGTTTTTAAGATTGCAAAAAGATTGAATCAATGTTGAAATATGCATGCATGTTTGTATATCTTTAACTGAATCATTGTAGCCTTCCTAGAATGGTGTATAAGTGTACGTAGCCCACAGTAAAATCGGGTTCTGGTCACCAGGTCAGTTGTCCCTGTCTCTCTTCATCGCCAATAGGTCCATAAAGATCATCTCACCAGGGAGAGCACTTAGGCCTCAATTTCCTGTCTTAAGTCTCCAAAAGTGTATAAACATACTAAACTCCACAGAAATAAGGGAACACAGGAATCTTAGTATTTTAGAAAATTAAAACTTTTTCCATCTCCTTTCTTCTGAAGCTTAACTCTTGTTAGCAGAGTACTAACATATATGTGAAATCCATTCTTTTTTTTGCAAAGTTTTTTGAGCTAATAAGTTCTTAAGGCAAGATTAAGAAACAACAGAAGAAAAACAAAAGAAAGAAAGAAAATCACTCACAGTAGCCTGCTGCTTCTCTGCTTTCTCAGCTGCCTCATTAAGCTGTTTTTGGAAGGCTTCCTGGAGAGATTTCATTTCCCTAGTGTATTGAAAACACAAAACACAAACTTTAACACAAGTTTCCATTACGAAATAATTCTTCAGATCCAAAAAATGGACCTTCAATTATTCAGAGTAGCAAACAGATGTACTTTGTCTATGAGTCTCACAAATAAAATCATAATGACTCCATGAAGTATAGTACCAAAGCAAAACAAAAATTATCTATGATGCAAAGTGGCCAGTGTTTATATCTACTGAATGGCCCACTGTGCAAAACATCTGCTAGTGCATAATTTCTAACAAAAATTATTGGCACCAAGAAAGTGAGGAAAGTGGGCAAGTTAAAATTCACTGACATCGAGTTCTTCAATAAGAATAAAAATAAAACATAGTTTTTCAATAAGAACTAGTTTCTATCTGCTTTAAAATAAACAAATAAATCATGCCCTAAAAAAATTTAACTTCATATGGCACTTTCTAGAGACAAGTAACAAAAAATTCATTAGAAGATTCTGGCATAAAAAGAAAAAAGAACAGGATAATTTCTTGGATTGGGCTTTTTTTGAATCAAGTGAAAACCTTTTGCATTACTGATTCAGTCGGAGATTTTCTCCAAACTGCAAGAATTTTTTACTCACAGCATATGACACACTTTGAAGTTGTAGCAAAGTAGTAAAATGACATATTTCATAACTGCTGTAAACAAACAAACAGCTTTTGGTTTCTGCTTGCATGGATGAACGCTCAATGAAGATCAAGCCAAAACTGGATTTACACACAGTAACAGATAATAATTTAGCCCTTTGAAACATAAACTGAATGGAAACCACTTAATTTTAAAAGAACTTGATACCTGCAGGATCATCTTTCTTTTTAGCTGATAAGCCCTACTACTTTCAGCAATTTCAGCAACACTAGTACAGAATGGATTTAATTGAAAAGTGATTGAGCAGCATGAAAACAATATACCATCAGCACTAACAGATGCCATCATTTCAAAGTGCTGATGATACACAGAAAGAATAAAACTGGGGGCATCATAGCAAGTGACCAAGTTTTACCTGCAACTTGGAAATTACTGGAGATTTTGTACAAAAGGAATTTTTAAAAATCTATTTTTTTAGTAATAGAACATTTACTTACAAAAGCTGAGATTCTAGTACTCTAAACTTTACTGTATCATCCAGCATTGTAGAGCATAATCAAAGTCATGCTCAGGCCAAATACAGTTCAGGTTTGTTCAAATAAAGATTGTAACATTAATATTAAGATATATTTTGAATTTTGGCTTCAATGCATTAGTTTTAAGCATAATACTGTCTTCACTTTTCTTCATTTACTGCAGACAAAACATAGCCTGAGGACGCTGGCAAATAAACAGTGACCTTTCCTTAGTGAAAGTCTGTAAGAAAGATTCTCTGGCACATTTTTAATACCTCTTTCAAATGCTGAACTTCTACACCTCTCTGGAAATGAAATCTAGTAAGTCTGTAAACAGGTGGAAACAGTAGTATCCCCAAATCATTTCCTTGCAGTATACTGTAAAAAACCTTTAGTTTTCTGAATGATCGAGCGGGCTGCTCGGCAGCGTATTGCACAGATCCAGTCTTTATTTCTGGGAACTGCCCTTCTGCTGTACACTTAATGTTTGAATGCCTTAGAAGCAAAAGTCAACATGTATTTTCGGTTGGATCTTGAGAGACTGCAAGTGGTGGTTTAAGGAGGAGATTAGGAAGTGTGAGGATCTGTGAGCCCTCTATTCAGGAGAGTGGTAAGTCCCCCTGGAGAGACGCCACAATGGTCTAAACTGGCTCACCTTAAAGAGAAAAATGGTTGCCTCTCCTAGGTTGCCTCTCCTAGGATGCCTCCTTGTTGCTTATACATGTACCCCAGTTCTACCCTTCCCCCTGACCTGTTGGCCAGCACCTTTGCCCTCCCCCTGGGCAGTTTCTTCCCTGCCTCCTTTCCTCGGGCCTTCCCTTATTCCTAGAACCTTCTCTCTTCCTCTGTTTCCTATTGGCCCAAGTTCTCTAATCCCTCCCTCACCTCATACCGATTGGTTCTGACACTTTGGACCCTCCTCTGTACCACCCCCTAGTTTCATTGGTCCTGGTTGCTCCCCGCCCCCAGTACAAAACACCTTGCACAGCCTTGTTTTGTGCCTTTTGTTTCTGGCCCCTTCAAGAGTTGGAAGCAATAAACTTCCCTCGTGGAACCCATACAAAGATCCCTCTCAGCCCTTTGTCACTGACTCCGACTACATCTATTCGGCAGTGTGAGTGTGGGTGTGTGGCACTGGCAGAAGCAATTTTCCTGGAGATGCTTCTGGGAAGGTTGCAGCACCTTACCAACAACTCCACACCGCAACAGGAAGAATATTTGAAATATATATTAAAATTTTCTTTTAGCAGACTGAGTTTTCCCATCTGCAACTAAGATCTATTTACTAAACAGTCCATTAATACTTTTAATTAATTCACATCTCAGTTTCATAAAGGAAAGTTGTATAACAATCAAATTACCACAAAACTGCATTCATGTATGAAGAAGGATTTCATCTGTGCAAAGGACAGCTATGATGCTGAGATGTACACCTTCAGTCACATCCAAGCCACTTAAGTATTTAAATAGGACGTTAGCTAAAATCTTGCCTTTATAATTTATTTGTCTGGAATAACTGAAAGACTGTTATATATCACAGTTAAAATAAGAAATTCTACTGGTATTGTATTCTGGACCTTATATATTGGGTATTTAAGACATGAAGGTCATTTTCTCACATGGTTTCTATGTAGCAATGCAATTTCATATGTATTTTTTTGTGTACTTCTACAATGAATATAGATGTAAGACGGCCATGGAATTTAATTACTGCATTTTTAACAATGAAAGAAGTATGACCTTAATATTTCTTACTAAACATTTTTCCTAGGGAAATTATGAAGTATAAATGCACTCAGTACATACCATTTTTCCAGCAAAAGTGGTCACTATATTAGTTATGTTTTCTTGTTATTAAAATTGTATTGATGTTGCTATTTGCTGGTCTGAATTTGAAGAATTAAGAAACACAGAATAATAAGACTTACTTGCAATGAAGCACTAGGGAAATTGAGACTAAGGACTAGGCTGGAAACTTGCATTCCCAGCCATGGGAGCTAATTTTTCAAGTGCTCAATGAATAATTTTCAATTAATACTACTTTCTCCTCCTAACTCCATTCATCACAAATATTCAGTGCTAGTATTCCTGTTTGCACATGGATTAGTGATTTTGAGTGCCTACACACATAAACACTTAATTAAGATGTTTGAATAAATGTCACCATCTTCAGGCATAGAGATTTAGACACTTTAGTAATTTAATTTTCTAAAAAATCTGAATTTATTTTTTAAGGAGTACTTCACGACTAAATCTTCCTTTAAAATTCAAAATGCCTTTCTTTAGCAGATATCTCACCATACCATTTTAATAAATTTTCCTGTCATATTTCCAATATAAGAAAATACATTATTTGTTTCAAAAAGAGTATTTCCTGCCTTTATTTTACTGTTACAAAAAGCAGACTCTGGAATACAGCAGTGTTTATCTATATAGTAGAAGGAAAGTTGAAATTTACTAGTCACACAGTTTTCAAACAGGAAATGGAAAGAGAAGGAAGAAGGTGAGAGTCTTACCTTTGGTTTTGGCCCAGTTCCAGAAGTTTCTGCACTTCATTTTTGGTTGACGCTTCATCATTTTTTAAAGACTGATAGCAACAAAAAAACTCTATTAAAGAGACCTTTTTTATTACTAATCTGTAAAAGTATTTGGCCCTCATTCATAGAATGGTCCTGGTGAATTGCAGACATTACCATTTAAGAAAACTGGAAGAATAGTCTAATTTTTCTTTTACTGTAACTCAAACACAGTTAACTGTACATAGCTGTGTATTTTTCAAATATGAGAGATATATACAATAAGCAGATTTAGAAACAGATGAATGATTAAAAGCATTAGAATTTTATGAAAAAGTGAGTGTGTGTATATACAAAAGAGAATACTACAGCCCATATCAGTACCTCTGTATTGTTGACTCTAAAATATTTCACAGAGTAATTTTGCTGAATACTACCTTCAACTGTGCTACATTCTAAAATAAATTTGGTACAAGGAGAAGCATATTTCTCTAAAAAGTAAGAAAAAGCCTACAATAACAGCAATAAAGCACTCAAAACCCCCCTAAAATTAAACCCAACTACCAAGCCCAAAACCCCAAAGATAAAAGGGTTGATTTATTAAAACCAGAGAAGTCTGGGACATAAGACAATATAATAATATAATATAGCACAGTACTGATACACACCACTAGCATTCTCCTCTGAACAGACAGTGCTTCTTCTACTTTTATTTTTTCCATCTAGCTTACATTGATGAAGATAAAAATGTATTGTCAGAAAAATAATTTCCTTTAAACTGGCATGAAATACAGAGAGCAATTTCAGTTGATGAATCTAAATGTTTTCACCAGACCAACAGACTCTAGTGGGAAAAGACAGGTGCTCCTTCAGCTGAATATCTGGGCCTCAGATCCAGAGCAGCATTTTCAATCTAGTTTTTCCTCTGGGGAGCTGGTTTGAGTTCAGAGTTAATCTATTGCCCTTTCAGCCTAACCATGACACCCAAAAGTTAAATGCAGAAAAGTCTCAGCTCTCACTTCAGGCTCATCTAGCATAGTTTGTCAGTTGAACTTGTAAAGCAATGCACTCTAGTATATCCAGTCAGATTGTCTAAGATGGCACATCAGAAAGGTAAACTGAGCAACTAAATTGAGTGTATGGAATTCAGCAGCAAAGATCCAACCTGCAACAGCAAAGGACATCCTTTGCAGTAGCTGCCAGTACAATGTGTGTCAGCTCCATTAATACTGCATATTTCTTGTCCTTCCTTTCCTTTTTCTATGTTCTATTTTCATATTTTCTTTATTTTTATTGAATTGACAAATGCCCCAACACATTAGGATGAATTTTTCCATGAAACCATCCGGTTTATGTAAAGTAGAACATCAACAAAATAAACAAAATAATAATTATTCACTTATTTAATGATTTTTTAAAAAGAAACATTTTTTTAAAAAAATTAAAATATACCAGTACGTAAATGTTGAGGTAAGTAAGTAATCCTATAGAAACTGAGACAGAGTCTAACCTGGAGGTTTACTTTAATTCCCTGAAGTTCTTTAGAAGTCTTTAACAGTTGATGAAGTATGTTGCTCCTTTCCTTAAAGACTTCTTTCAGCTGTCTTTCCAGTTCTTCATAGCCCTGTCTAACACAAAGAATAAAAGCATAAGATCATCTCAAAACATTAGTCAATGCACCTGACAACGTATCTTAGTTCATCGAAATTTAATTCCAACACTCTGTATAGATTTCAAATTGGACTATGTCCCCTTGCTCACCCATAGAACTTGATTTTTCCAAATACAGATAAATAGATGTTTTATAAATTGAAATGATGTTCTGATTCTGAGTGAGCAAATTACCAAATTGAAATATTGCAAATTATGGATTGTCTGTCATAAGAGAGACATAAAGGGATGTATTTAGTGTGAGTGACAGTGTGAGATTTTTCTTACCTTAAAACATATACCATACCAAAAAAAAAGTTTTTAAAATAACAATATAATATTGTCTATAGTATTTATGTATTAGCGTTTACTTGTTGTTATTGATCATAAATGTTTGGATATGGTACCATTTATAACTCCTTTTAGCTGCTCATTAGTATAACACAATTTATTAGTTTTGCACCGTATAGCTCATAGAAGTAATCGTGTGATTAATATATCTATGTATGCACGGGGCAGCTTATAGAAACAGTGGTGTGATAAATATATTGTAAGCCTAGCAAAACATGAAATGTTAAAATGCTTCTATGTAACTAAGAAAGCTGTGTAAAGCAATTATGTTGTTTTTCCCACATGGCTGACTGACTTCTCCAATTGATAACAGTGATAAGAACCAGAGCACCAGAAGTTAACTTGTTAACTCCTTGTTATCAGGAAAGTGTGAAACAACAGGATGAAAGAATAAAATATATTGACCTGATGTACAGGATGTCATGCAGATAAGTCAGCATGAAAGGCCAGACAAAACACAACATCAAAAGCTCCTGCAAATGTTTGAATAATGTATGAAACACATGAATATGTATAGACCTTAGTAATGTAACAGTATATAGATAACACTGTCTTAATCTACTGGTGTGTTCTTTAGCCAATAGCCAGAAACACCCCAGCATTGGACACTGTCCCTTTTCATCCCCTTATTAAACTTAAAAATTCCAAAGAGTGAACTATTTTTCACAGAAAGCAAAACTTTGGAAGTATGAAGTTTTGAGATATCAGTAATCTGAGGTGCCATGGGCAACCCAAAATGTTATTGCATTCTGTATGTATCTGTGCCCAAAATTGTTACTCTCTTTTTCAGACCCTGCAGCCAGAAAACGGAAATGGGGGGCAGTCCAGTCTTCAGTCCTTTTTTAAGACGGAACTCAGAAGCAGGGAGCTCTCTGCCTCTGCTGGCAGCATTTGCTTAAGGTGGAGGCTCTGCAAGGAGTGGGTTGCCTTGGGCATTGATTTTTTTATTATTATGTTTTTTTCTGGTCTTGCAATAGTAACAACTCAAAACCCCCCTGCACTTGGCAATCAAAAACTGTTTCAGTCTGAAGTTTGCAAACCTATCAGCAGGGTGAAGTGAGCCAGTCCCTGGGGCCAGTCACTCTGTATCAGGGCTGACTGACCAGTTCCTCGTCCCAGCACGCCCACAGTGCATGAGACAGCAGGGCCAACATTAGACAGAGTGTGGCTGGCAGCAGGAGGAAGAGGTGGAAGCAGCACTGACCCCACACAGGCCAGCACTTCTCATCTGCCTCTAGAACTGCTCCATAAGCCCTACCTTCCTGGAAGGCTGCTGCCATCCTTCCCCTGTGTCTCCCAGCTGACATGATTGCCTGTGAAGGCTGCAATTCTTTGGGGAGGATCAGAACCATTTTCACTTTGTCTCCCTATACATGGTCTCTTTCCTAAGGTGGGTGCCATCTTGGAAATGGTATTTCTGCCATTTTGGGTGTCTCTGTTTGTGTGTTAATTTGATTTAGCAATTTTGTATCTAGTGATTATTTACAGTTATTTTTTGCCTGTTGCGGTTTTGCTTGTTAGCAGTTATTTTAGAGTGCTCCCCCTTAAGTTGTTTTAAAGAAGGACATGAGGAATGAACAATTCAGATCTATTTTAACTTGATAAATGAAACACAGGACTCCTTTAACACAAGCGCCTTAGTATAAAGTATAGGTTAATAAAAGTTAGGTGTTAGCAGCTGTGCTAGATTGCAACTGCTTTTGCAAAACAAGAAGCCTATCCCCAGAAGGGCCTACTATGATAAACAAATAGTAGATGCTATGCCTAATGCTGACTGTTCATGGAGAAGAACAAAAAACAAGTGGACTAAGATGACAAGGGAAAGGAGTAAGAGACAATTGGTTTGGCTAACTTTTGCTTTTTCTTCAGGACAAGGGCTTAACTCATGTGCGCTAAGCAATAAGGAACACTTACTGCGAGAAACAGCTCAGTATTTGAAATTTTTATAAAAGTTAAAAAGGGATAAAAGGGATAAAATCCAGCAAAACACCCCAAAGCATTGGGGTGTTTTGGTGATCAGCCAAAAAATACACCATTAACTTAAAACAATGTTCTCTATATAATGTTATATTACAGGGGGTACATGCATCTTCATAGGAGTTTACACATATTCAAACATTCCTGTGAGTTTAGGTGTTTGCTTGGTTTTAACCTTTGACTTGTCCATCCTTCAGATTAAATCAATATATTTTATTTCTTCTCATGGTTCGTCCTGTTGTTTTTACACTTCCTGATAATGAGGGGTCAGTAAATTGGGTTCTGGTTTTTGTCACTGTTATCTTATAATTTAGATAAGATGGTCCACAAAATGTGACGAACTACCTAATTATCTTACCCTATTCTCCGAGTTAGTTACATGAATAAAAGCATTTTAACATCACATAGTCTCTGTTTTAATATTATGCTACAGCTTAAGGTATATTTATCACACTACTATTTATATAAGCTATATGGTGCATATATAAACTGGCAGATTATATTATACCAAAAGGCAGTTAAAAGGAAATATAAAGTGTACCATGTCAAAATCTTTCTGATTAATAATAATATGTTAAAGCTAGCTAATACATAAATGTGAAAGCCAATAATATATTGTCTTTATAACACTTATTAACTGCTGTTTTTATGACTAATAGAAGAGCTGTTAAAAGAATAGAAAAATGTTATAAAAGAATAGGAACATAATTAATACACAATTACAGATGAAGAATAACTGATACAGCAATAAAATGTGTAGTAATATAAGTAAGCATTAGCAAAATAGGTGTGATGAATGTATTAGATAAGAATAGTGTGCCGTGTTTGTAACCATAAGATAAGAAAACCACAAGTTATGGAAGACCTCAACCCTTTAAGACTAATTTTTAGATAAATAAGCAAACAGGGCAGATGCCTGTCATGGTTTTAAAACATTAGCTAAAAAAAAATCACTAGAAAACTTACTTCTTTCTTGCTGTGAGATATGGATTAGGAGAAGGGCAAAACAGGCTTAAAACTTAAAAGGAATAAAGAAAGTGTATTAACAAAACTACAAGAATAAGAAACCAGAATGAAACCTCCAGAAACCCTTCTTCCCTACCACCCAACCTTTTTTGTCCAACTGACAACTTAGAGACAAAACCTGGTGGTTAAAGCAGTCCTAACTATATAGTAGTCCTTTTATCAGTCTTTGTAGAGAAAAAGAAGTTCTATTTTGTCATTCTCTGGAGAGTTTTTCACAAGAAAACAGTTTTCTCATGGCTTTGTATTCCTCTGATGCCAGCCGCCCGGAAAACTCTGCCATCAGGCCCCTCCTCCCATTTCACACCACTCTGAGGTGTGTCCATGGGGTATGAACTCAAGGGGTGTCATTTTAACGATGAGTTATTCAAAGACAACTGTTCTCTTCATCTGTCTCTGTGACCATTTCTGGGAACAGAGGTTTTCTCGTTTCCTCTTGGGGGCCAAGCATCTCTATCAACTCTCACTTCTATTTTTCTGTTCCAGCATTTCATGAGATCACAACAACTTCACCATCTGCTCAGCTTCATCAATGGATTACCTTTGCTCAGATCTACACTTTCAAATACTTCATTCCCCCCAAAATACTCTTTCATGAATTAAAGGAGTTTTTTTTTTCCTGGAACATTATTGTCCATCTCCATAGCTTTAACAAAAGAATATTTCATCTTATTAAGGCATCTCCTTATTCTCTTCCCATCTGAAGCTTAATTTTTTCTTTCACTAACTCTGATAGCTCATGTTGTCTCTCTGCATGTTGGTCGCTTTTGCTTTCTTCTCTCTGGATAAAGGATTAAATCTGCAGGTCTCATCTGGGTAGTGAAAGGGTTAAAATCTGGCACAGGCCTTGTGGATGGTCACGTGATCTCCACCGGGGCAGCGGCTGGAGCTGTTTGCGATGGAGGATTTTTGGTGGCTGCTCTGGGGGTGTGGCCAGCATCTCAGCATGCCCCGGGTCGATGGCTTTCCCTCTCTTTACTCGGCAGTCTCTGGTGAAACCCAGCAGCAGCAGAAACTGCAGCCAAGCCAAGTACCGGTCTGGTCCGGCAGCCCCGCTGTACAAAGCTCAGCGAGCCTTTCGAGGTTCTCAGCCCCTCTGGGAAGGGGCTCCTTACACTTCACAGTCTCTATCCCCCCACTCAGGAGCCGCAGAACTCTGGCTAGCCCCCGCTCCCCCCGCAGCCTTGTCCGGCCTGGTGGGGAGGAGGCTGAGCCACAGTTCTGTTACCTTTCACAGCCGTAAACAAAGACGGAGCTAGAAGCTCCCGGGCTTAGTTTTAAAGGGTGGTGTTCGCAGGTTGATCTCACTTTTCAATGATCAAAACTACTGTCAGTTCTCAGAAATGGCCAGCTATCGGCCAGAAGAAAAAAGGGAAAAAAAATAACTTCCCATCAGCCTCCAGCAGCCTTAACTTCCGTGGGTGTTTTCTACCTTTTTCTTAAATGCCAATCCATCACAATGCCAAACTTGTTAATGTATAAATAACCACTGTAAGATAAGCATGGCAGAGATGCACATGGAGGTGTGGTATTAAACCTTGATGCCTATGTAACTTAGGTCAAAGTTACAAGGTGCTTATATAGCTTGAGTTATAAGACATCAATATAACAGATATCAATATAACCTGAATCATAGCTTTTTATACCTATATAACCTGATATTAATAACTTCCTATACAATGTAATGGCTAGTATATGGTTCACTACTTACTTAATACTGAATAGAGAAAAAAGAAAAAAAAAAAGAAGAAAATTCACCAAGTAGTTAGTTTCAGAGACAGATAAGTATAATACTGAGAAATTGCCAAATGTAAAGCCAATTCACCACAAAACAAAGAATTCAGGCCAGTTAGAACCAGATGCACCAAGGAACACCATAACTGCACATGCTCGGAAGACGAAGTTGAAAAGTTCAGATGCAAAGATTTTGGAAGCCTTTATCAAAGAAACATGA